GCGACCGACCAAGTGCACCCAAAACTCGATTGAAGCACGCTAACCAATGACCAACGCTTTATAACATAACAAAAGCGCAAAAAAAATCTTCGTTAATCGAGAAAGATTCAAATTTTTTGCCTAACGAAATCTCCATTACATAGCGCACGTTACTGAACACGCCAGCATAAGCACCATCGATTTTTTGATGTACGCTCGTGCATGTTAATTAAGCAATATAACGTATATCGTGGCTATGTTATGAGTTTAAAATTTTAGCAATTACTTTTAAATGTMTAAAAGGTTTAGCTCCAGAATACGTTATTTATGCTAATAGAAATCTTTAGAATGCTATTTAATTTTAGTTTGATACAGAGAACCAAACATGCTGTTCTCTTGAATCATCAGAACTCTTGGCTGACCAKTTTCTACAACTTTCCCTTTCTCGATAACAACAACTCTGTCATAATCAAGAACAGTGTCCAGACGATGTGCTATGGCCAGAACAGTTTGTTCTCGTAGTTGGTATTTGATGGTGTCTTGAATGAGTCTGTCTGTGACAAAGTCTACGTTGGCAGTAGCTTCGTCTAGTACTATTATCTTTTTCTTCTGCAAGAGAGCTCGTGCAAGGCATAATAGTTGTCTTTGGCCCACGCTGAAGTTGGACCCTCCTTCCTTGACCATGTATTCAAGACCCTCGGGGATGGACTCTACGAATGATTTTAGTTGAACTTGGTCTAACACCGACCACAGCTGACTGGTTGGGCAGTTGTCAGTAGGATCCAGATTAAATCGAAGACTTCCTATGAATAGAAATGGGTYTTGTGGAATRCAACCAATAGTACTGCGACTGTCTTGAACGTTAAGATCTTCAATGACCACCTGATCAATGACAATGGACCCTGAATGCACTTGAGGAAGTCGAAAAAGAGCTGATATGATRGAAGATTTTCCAGCACCCGTTCGTCCCACTATTYCAATCTTCTCTCCACATTGGATGTTCAAGTTGATGCCCTTGAGTGCCTGCGGTGCTCCAGGATAGTATGTCAGCGTGACATCATTGAAAGACAGAGACCCATTTTCAGGCCATTGTTGTGGTGGTCGAGTCTTCACTGCATAGCCAGGATTCCTTTTAAGGTCAGTGTATTGTATCACTCTCTCTACTGATGTCATAGCATTCTCTAAGTTTCCTACAGCAAAGGCAATATTCCACGTAGAAGCCAGTTTTATCGCATAGAAAATCAGAAATCCCACTAAAGCTGAAAAGAAGGATTTATTAGAGTACATAAGTTACTTCCTTTATTAAAGTTAGACTAAAATTAGTGAAGTTCCTATTGCGGACTCATTGTGTACAGTACTTTTATATGAATGCACTATATTTCACGTTATTGAATCAAGCTCTCGTCTAAAATCAGATTGTTTTGAAAGTAATATCTTGAATTTGACCAAATGAATAAACAAAGCTCTCTCTTCACCTGTATCATAGTTGCGATCCTGACGCATGATCAGAAACCACAAAATATTCAACAAAACTTGTAATGAAAAAAAATGTGTACGACTTACTGCTATCCTGACTGGTCAACAGAGAGACAACTGTAACGCAGATCACGCACAATGCTAACATCAAATCTACTCTTAAAACTATCCACGATTTGAGACCAAATACCACTAGCATTGCCTTATTCATGTTATCTTGATACCTGAGAATGAATCCATGCAGCACATGCATAAGTTCCATAACTCATGAACTTCAATTCATATTCAGTTACACAGCATTGTGCTGTGACCATGATGAGCGCTTACCTTTGCATTTTGTTAGTTTGTAGGTCTTTTCGATCAAATGCTCTGATAATGTGTGCTCCTTCAATGGTCTGTACGAAGTGTTCATAAACAGGACTTCCACATATGGCCATCAATCTTTGAGCCTCTCTTGACGCCTGTAAGTAATACCTTGCCTCAAATATTTAAAAAAATATCACAAGTAAAGTGAGCACAACCAATATTGCATTGGTGACACACATGATTCCAAAATCAAAAGTGCATATAAAAAGCATCATGAAATTGCGGAGAGACACCTCCACTAGGGTATCATCCAATACGAACGTATCTTGCGAAAAACGGTTGAGGATTCTTCCTGGTGGATTGATATCGAAAAACCTTATGGGACATCTTAATATGGTGGATACCATTTGCTTGTGCAACTCTTTGGAAGCATTCAGGCACAGAGTAAGTACACCGATTGTAAGCATTATATAAATGGAAAAAGAGCAGAAGGCTATTGCTGAATAAATGTAAAGGTTGGTTAAACTCTGTTGCTGTTTGGGAGAAAGTTTGATCCAGTGTAAAAGCCAAAAGTAAGCGCCATTTGATGAGCCTAAAAATGAAATAATAACTCATCAGCAAATAAGATTTGGGGAAAATGCTGTTTTAAACTTTACAGTAGATATTCATTGGACTTACACTGGCTAAACAATCCCAGTAAAAATAAAATGATTAGGCCAGGAATGCTGCTTCCAGACCGCATGTACTTCCAGTACGTTTTGCAAGAGACTTTTCCCACGCCTTTCTCCTCTTCTTCCATTCTATTATTATCTTCATCTTCATCTTTCATTCGATGATCCACCTTTTCAGTTTCCTTCGGCAGCACAGCTTCATATTTCCCATTTTCTTTCGTACTTATTATTTTCACAAGACTTTCATGAGCCAGGTCTATCTCATCAAAGGTCCCGTGTTTAACAATCGTCCCGTTCTCCATGATCACAATTTCATCCACATCTTTAAGATAGTGCAAGTGATGTGTGACAAGTACTCGGAGTCGATTAGACAATAATCCTATGATACACTCATTAAACACATGACGACCGACCTTAGAATCAACGGCACTGAGAGGATCGTCAAGTAGATAAATATCTGCAGCTTGATATACTGCACGTGCTAAATTGATTCTTGCCCGTTGACCACCACTGAGTCTAACGCCTCTTTCCCCCAACGTATGTCAAATCACCATGTGGCAATATCTTAAAGTCGGTATCGAGTGCGCATGACCTAACAACGTCATCGTACGTATTTTTGTCAAAAGTGCTTCCAAAGAGAATATTGTCTCGTATGGTACCAGAAAACACCCAAGCTATTTGAGGGACGACAGCCATGTTACCTTTGATGAGGACAGCCACAGCCGATCTTACCGATAACTGCTATAAGTTTGGATCCATTGGTTCGTAAGTCTATTTCGTTCAAGAGCCATTTATCGGTGACGCTGCTGTTGAATGAATGATGAGGAACTTTGCTGATAACTTTGGATAAATGTAGTCCAGGGATAATCTTGAGAGGAGGAAAATCTAGGTTCGTAATCGGTAATGGCTCGTAGTCATGACTATCTGAAGTAGTCATGATATGTTCCTTGAGCTGATCATCGTTAAGCTGTCCATCCTCATTTTTAAGCTCGTCGTTCAATAAAAGATCTTGAATTCTTTGTATTCCCACTTTAACGCTGCTCAGATATTCTATTTCACACGAAAACCAGTATAAAGAGTTAGGAAAAATAAACATGAAAGTCAATAGCGTGAAGACATTTCTTACATCGATCACGTGACCCGTATACAAGAAAGCAGTGATGGCTAGAAATGAAGCGTTGTTCACGAAGGTTAAGTTCAACGTATAAAACAAA